AATAAAATTATAGGTAACTTGTTAATAATAAGTGTAAATGAATTCTATTACATGTTGTTTGTTTGTTTGTTTGTTTTTGTTTTTTTGTTTTTTTTTAAAAAACGTTGCCCCACACTAGGATATTCTCCTGTGTCGTGGGTGCATTTACAAACATACACAATGACGCTCAGAGCCGAAACAACAATTTGTGGATCACACAAAGTGTTGTCCCGTGCGGGAATCGAACCCGCTACACGTTGCACGGCAGCCGGTTGCCAGCCACCGCGTCAACCGTGCAGTCAGTTGTAAAAGGAAGGAATTGAATATTTCTTTTATGCATGAATAACACGAAAACAAAAACCATAAAAATTGTAAAAACATTTTTTTTGTCAGTGTTTCGGAGCGTTCCGTTTACACCCTATTTTTAATAAAAAAGTTCACATATTTTTTTAATTGTGTACCTGGCATGTTGCGCATTCAGCAACAGTAGGTACGAGTATTATTTAAAATTAAAATATTGAAATAAATTATATATTTTATATAATTACTTTAATGTTGTATACATTATTATGTATACTTATTTGTACTTATTAGTAAGTATAAGTTTTCCAATATACCTATTTAGTGTTTATTGAATGTTATGGTTTGTGAGATTTATTATACCTACTGGTAAATTGCCTATTTATAAAGGCTTAAAATCACCTGCTACTTTCATCTCTTTACTGTTTAAAGGTTGACTAGGAGTCAATGCCCAAGGCATAAAGTCCCCTGTACACACTTGTTGTATTAATGTAAAATATAAATAAATAAATAAATAATATATTAATGACTTCTGTGGGTAAGAATATTCAATCTCTAAAATACACAAAAATATACCTAATGAGATATTTTTCTTGAGTAGGTACTGCTAATCGCACGACGATCTCCGGTCACCGTAAGTGCGGTTCTGTGGACGGTGAGCAAGGGTAGCTCGCCGCCTGACCAGAACCAGACCCCAGCGTGCGGCGCGTCGCGTTCTACACGCATCTCAAAAAACCATCAGACTACCACAGATGGGGCCCAATAGGACTGATGCCGATACAGGGACGTGGAAGGCCTAATGGGTTGCCGGGGCTCCGGCTCAACGAGCAGAAGTAGAAGCGGGTTGGTTTTTATTCAGTAAGGGTCTTACACTCCCTGTCGCCGAACCCAAGGCGGGAGAAGTCATTATATGATTTTCCGTCTTCAAAAAAAGGTACTACTTCAAACCTCGTTTTATATTGTCTTAGCATACAAAATTCTAAAACCAAGGCTCTGTTTTCTACCTTCTTAGTTAAAATTTAGAAATTCTATTATCTTTTCTTCCTTCATAGTAACGTGCTCGGATTAACGCTTCTAAGTAGTAAATTAACTGTTTGTGTAGTGTTTTGCTAATCCTATTAAAAATATAAAATTTTAGTCCATTGTAGTCTACCACGAAAGAGTTACAAACTCTATTAAACTGTCAAACACCAAGCGGTCACCGGTGACCGCGACCTATTGTTCTTTAATTGTGTCTATAAAACCGGTACTCGACGAGTTAAAGTGGGATAAAAATATTACGTTAGTTTTAAACTTGAAATAAAATTAAGGCTAGTAGCCTTTTGACAGTTTTAAACTAAGTTCAAAATATTTATGTTACGTTGAACCATATTTTTGCTTTGTTATAAAAAAATCCAATATTAGGTACAAAAGTTGATATTGTTTTATTCTGTGTCATAAAGAATCATCTTTAGAATTTGATGTTATGTCGAAATAAAATCATTAAACAAACATCATTAATCCATATACTACCAATTGTCATTTTACATAAGCGAAGTGATTCTGAAATGAGAGCACGAACATGTGAATATGTGGAACTGTTCTCATTTGCACTTTTTAATTAAAAGCCGCAGCAATCAGAGTGTTAATTATTACAAACTATCTCGATCTCGCGGTCCCATTGCATGATAGAAATAAGTGCTGCGTATAATTGTTGAACATCTAGATTCTCGCCCGTCATTGGTCGAGATTATTCTAATAACCAATTACATATTGGACCGCAATCAAGCTTGATTGCAGTCCGATATGTTATTCGACATTACAACAAAACACAGAGTGCACATGGAGTTGTCATTAACGTCAACTGTCAGTTGTCAATTTGGCGGGAAATTAAAAAATGGCGATAATTTATTTCTATAAAAAAAATATAACAAGATTAACTTATATCTACCTACACACACTCATGCCTTTGTTCTAGAGGGTGAGCAGAAATACATATTTCAAATGCAGGGATATTATGTACCGTACTTTAGGGGTATGTTATCATTTCGCGAATACCCAACAACTGGGTAAAATTGTAAGAGATGGATTGCTCCCGAATAAATATTGAAAATGTTTGGGAATGATCAAACGTATGCCAGAGTAAATATTTAGAAGGGTGAACGTTTCAGTAAATTTGGCTACTTCACGTGTGGACATCATGTTTTACTGATATTAATATATCCAGAGAAGCATTTCTGTTTGTTGAAATATTTTAATAAATAAAATAACCTACACTGTTAATGTTTTAAAAATACATCGTCACATTTTTCACCACCATTTCGTTTGCAACATTTGAAATTGGAAGTACAGGATTTTTTCTTTTTTTTTTAATAATATAGACATGGATGTTAAATTAAATGTCTATAAAGTTGAAATAATTATATTTTCCTCTTTAAAAAGTATTTAGAACTTATTATAGATGTGACGATACATAATATTCGTAGGTAAAATGTAAACCACGTGGTGTACCTTCTTAATTTTTTGTTTTTTTTAATGGGGTATTTAGTATGTCATATTTATTTTCACGACAAAGTATCTGCACGTGTAGGTACTTTATTATTATAACTTTCTCAGAAGCCATTTATCATGTGTTTCATCTCTACGTGCGATACCTTAATGTAATATTACATCTGATTTATTCCAAGAGCTAGTCAAAAATTGAGTTGGAAGAATAAGCGAGACTGTAGGTACTGCTTCCTAATGGTTATTTTTTATCTCATACGTGACATAAACTTTTGCTAATTATTATTGAGTAGAGAATACATTATATTATAATTATGAAGTACAAATACCTACTCCAGAGATGAAAAACTTAATAATACATGTATGTACAGTGGGCAGCAGGACATTCTACTCTTTTCAAAGTTCTTCATTAGATATTCAACTCTATAGTTTGAGTATAAAGTCGAAAATATAATGATAAAAATTGATGCATTAGAGTACTTTGATGTACTGGCCATTGTACTGTTTATGTTTGTCTCAATCATAATTTATAATCTGTCTACCACTCACACATGTTTGAATAAAACCTTGTATCTTCAAAAACATTTTGCTCAAATAAAAGAACAAAGCAAAGTATAGAACGTTTCATTTAGGATTTAAAAATAAATAACAAGATCATAATCTTGAAAATAAACTTTTCTCTTTTTGAATTTACTAGAAAAAGCATTTTAACGTTTATGGTATACCTACCATTACACAGCATTTTTCATTCTTAGAGCATATTTATTTTTTTAAAACAACCTTCAACAATAAGTAAAAGTGTTGTTATAAGTATTCGTAAAAGCAGAAAAAAAAGGTTAAACAAAGATGCCAATAAGCTTTTAAAAAGAAAATGTTAGAATGATTTTAAAAATAAAATAACAAGACAGCATGTTAAATTAATTTATTTTACTGGCAATAAAATGTATTTTTTTTTTATATTCTTGAACAGAAATACAAAATCTAAACACCAATAAGTTAAAAGCCTATGAAATTAGTCTTTGTCGTAAAACGAATAAACTTTTATCATAGAGCCACTTTCAACGCTATATAGCAAACAGAACAGAAGTAGCAAAAATAACTGTAAGAACTATTTTATTTGTTTGAGAAAATTTCTTCCATATTTTTATCTTTTGTGGTAAAACATTCTTTATACGGAACAAATGTTAAGAATTCGTAGACAAAGAAAATAGGAAAAGTGTAAGTGACGTAAGAAGTTTACGAGTAATCAGATTAGACCATTGCCTGAGTACAGGATGGTTGAGGAAAAGAAAAAAATTACTGACGACCTATAGGGTAGACAAAATATCGTAATTTTAAATTACTGTACCTGTACTGGGAGTAATTCAATTATTTTTTTAAGATTGAGTCATGTTTTTGCATGGAGTTACGTCTTTTTTACACTGACGCACAAATGTCAACGTGGTACGTAGATAAGAGAATAATTAATAAAAAAATAACCTTTATCGCGTTGAAACGCTTTTTACAACTTAATTTTTTTTATATATATTAGTTGGACCGACGTTTGACCACTATCTCGCCTCGTGGTAAGCGATAATACGGGCTACGATGGAGCACGTCTCCCCATAAGAAGCCTTTATACTCTTTAATTTTTCATTCATTTTAGTTCTAGCTACATTCATAAAACAATAACGTTTTAAAGTTGATACTTAGTAACCTCATAGTAAAAACAAATCATTAAATTGAATCGTCCTGTTTTTGAAATATGCTATAAATAACAGAGAAAAGGTTTTATGACTTTCCGAATTATATTCGAACGGCCACCGTTTATATCCGTTGGTATATCGTAACATAATTATGTTTGAGGCAGGCTATAGTAACATAGCCTGCCTCAAACATAATTTTATGAGTAGCCTTATTTTATTGAGTAGCGTTTGAGTATTCCGACATTCTAATTTCAAATCAATTTTATTTTAAAAATGTTTTTTTTTTTTAAAGTAGTCATCTGTTTATTGATTGTTACATTTTTCATCGCATTTCATTATTTTTCGTCATCATGCTTGCGTTAAAATTTATGGAATATGGGTAGCGCAGTGGCAACAACGCGGCACAAGCGGCACGCAACATCAACGACGTTCATGGAGCTTACACTACAAACCAACTAATATTCTGCTACAACTTCTCATATTTGTTTCGTTTCTTTAAGTATAATGCTACTGCTATCAGTCGATTGTTATAAAAAACGAAAAGACACTTACCAGTAAACTAACATAGCCATGGATTCCATTGTACGCCATAATGATGTCTCTGAAGTCACCTTCGCAGTAGCCACAAGTGTCGGGTTTCAAGGTCAAATTGAGTTTGCTCTTAGCGTCTTTCATCATCCTCACTAAGAGAGACTCCATCTCACTCCCACTGGCACCACGGCTCGCCTGCTCCCGCAGCACAGACACGATCTGGGTCTCATTAATACTATTATCTGAAGCATTGCCAGATGCAGCCAAAATCTCTTGGAATATTTCCAAAAGTGTATGCGATTTGTTAGCCATCTTCACAAAATGTTTAAATAATCTTCACTATGTCCTCAGTACCACAAAGTCATCGTTCATAGTTATTATATATTTTTTGTCTTCTTCCCTGAAACCTGAAACAAGATAAATCTTCGTGTTAGAGAGCTCTTTTTTACTTCAGTTTTTATTAAAGTTGATATTTTTTTCTCGAACATTGTCATATTTTATCGTAACAACTGCCCAAGGGGATGGCAGCGCGGGCTGGGTTACAGGGCGGGTGATTCGCAGTCATTGTACGTTGGTATGTAGATATAAATGTGCCAAATATGTAAAGGAGCGCCATTTTGCTATCTGCAATCATGTTAATTGCGTAATTGTGTTAATTGCAGCATGTTTATGTATTGAGTGCGGTGTGTTGTAGAAAGACTTTCTCGATCATTCATCACAATTGGTCTAAAGAGAAAAAAAAACACATAATTATGAGCTCAACTTAATTTCACCCAAAACCATTTTAAAACGAAATAAAACGCTTCATATTCTACGACTCGATTACCAAACTATCAAGAACAGCTAACCAAATCAAGACAGTAATTACACGAAGTGATATCAATATCAGTGACAGGATAAAACAAGATTAGCCTAACTCTAACTAGTCATTAGAACTTCAGAACTGTTAATTCAAAGTGATTCTAACTTCGTTATACTAAGGTCAAGGGCCTTCGTCACGAGAATTTCTATGAATACAGACCCAAGGGCCAATCTTTAATCCTTTTTAAGACTACCAAAGTTTAGAGAAGTTTGCGAAGCTAATTAGAGGTCACTTGTGTTTTGGCTCTTTAGTAAATAATCTCTAATTAATGTTAATAAAGTGTTATGGAAATAAAACCTCTTTTAGTGATTAACGATATTGGCTTTGATGACAAGTTAACGTGTGCTTTCATTTTGGTTTTGTGAAGTTGTAGACTTATAATATTAGGTCATAAGTTTCTTCAATTATCATGCTAGCTACTATATTTTTGGCAATCATGATATCAGAATAAAAAACACTCTTAATAAATAGGCACCGTGATATAACAAATAACACGGTGCTAATTGTTCCGATTTTGTTTTTATATTTACTAAACCCGAAATGATCAAGGACTCAGGTCAGCCTAAAGTCTACCAAATCAGATAGAACATTGAACTTGCAGAATTAAATAATTTGAAGACGAAGTGATTAAAATAATTTATTGGACCGCTTTAAACTTTTACTTTTTATCAATTGTTGCTAGACGAATTCTCATAAGGAGGAGGCGGAACGCGTGAGGCAGCGCAGCGCTGCCTCCTCGCAACCCAGCCATCGCGACGGACACACCGGGCGTCGGGGATCGCGGGACGATCTCCGACCACCGTAAGCGCGGGCCTGCGGACGACGAGCATGGATGGCTACCCGTCCGACCAGAAACAGACCCGAGCGTACGGCGCGTCGCGTTCCGCGCGCGCCTCAAAGAGCCATCAGACCACCACAGATGGGGCCCAATAGGGCCGATGCCGATTCAGAGTCGCGGAGAACCTAACGGGTAACCGTAGCTCCGGCTCGACATGCAGGAGAAGGAACGGGGTGGTTTTTAGTCAGTAACAATCTGACACTCCCTCCCGCCTTACCCAGGCGGGAGCAGTCATTCGATGATTTTCCCCCCTTAAAAAAAAAGACGAATTCTCATTTTAAGTTTAATAATAAAACTAAATCTATTATTTACCTTCACTAAATATTAATATCTGCACTGTATGAAGACATATCTTAATGAAAACAAGGGAAGCAAATATTAATTTTATGATTGCTTCCTAGTTGGATTTGTGCCAAAGCTTTGCGGCTGAGATAACTATCACAAAGTCAACATTTTTATTGATATATACACATATATAATACATACGTTTTATAGAACTGCACTCTTGTGGTATTCCATTTCTTTATTATAAAAATCTACCAAATGCTCAACAATTCTACCTTGATATGTTTGAAACAAAGATAATCGGATGGTATCTTTTGAAAATGTTTGTCTTCGTCTTTTATATTTAAATATTGTACAATATTATTACAAAATATTTAATTACTGGTCGATTAATAAATTAGCTCCTCAAGACCAAATATTAGGTACTTATTTCTAATCCAATACTTCAGAAAAAACCAACTGCTATTAAATGCTCACATAACAAATGATAAACACCTTACGATTTACCTGTACAGTTAAAACTGTACAGGTACTTACAGGTATACTGTACAGGTATTTACCTGTACAGTTAAAACTGTACAGGTAAACTGTACAGTCAAACTGAATCGGCGATACGTCACCGATTCATGTTAGATGTCCTACACACGCACGAAGCGCTTCGCAACAAGATACCTTGTGCATACTGCTAAGGAGTAAATTCTTTGCCAGAGTCTGGATTTCCTGGGTGTCTTCAAGGCCCGAGTGAATAGGTTGCTTATGGGACGACGTGCTCTATCTTAGACCGCATCATCGCTTACCACCAGGCGATATAGTGGTCAAACGACCATCAAATACAATAAAAAAACTGTATAGTTAAATCGTAAGGTGTGTAGAGTATACAGTAGAACTGTACAGTATAAATTGAAGGTGTGTTGGCTATATGGACCTATGATTTAACGGTACAGTTGGACTGTACAATTAAAGCTGTACAGTTAAATCGTGAGGTGTAGGAATGTAGTCTGTGATTAATATATTATGTAGGTCTGACACGTAATACAACTTAATTAAATTCTCACACCTAGTTACTGTAATTAACACGATAATATGAATAATATAATTACTACCTAATCATATGTTAATAAACGTTAAATTATAACTTTAACTGCCTCGTTGGCCGCGTGGTCGTGGCTCGCAAGTGCGACTGCCGGGCAAGGGGTCTTGGGTTCGATTCCCGGATAGGGCAAAGTATTACAGAGTTTTAAAAAAAAATCTTTAGTAGTACGAGGCCTTGAATTGTGCCCGGTATATGGCAATAGGCTCAACCCCTATTACATAGGACTTGATGGGACTCATAACATAAATAGTGAAAAGTGGGTGTTACATTACACAGTGGCATTAAGTGCCGTAATATGCACCTCCGCCTACCCCTTCGGGGATAAACAGTATAGTCAACCAAGTTATTTATTAATGAAGATTGATAATGTAGATACACACCAATTTGTACAAGTTGATGACTTGTAGCTGCTCTATCTGTCCTGAATCAATCTTTATTGTTCTATCTGTATACCAAACAACTTGACTGTACCTTAAACCATTGTGTCAGACTGTTGTGGTTAGGTTTGTCAATTGATTCATCAACAGCCTATAAGTACCCACTGCTGAGCAATGCCTCTTTTCACATGGAGAAGGTTTGAGCATTAATCACCACGCTTGCTCAATGCGGGTTGGCGATTTCAAACTTATAATTAGAAATTATAAGCCCAGGTTTCCTCGTGATATTTTCTTTTCTTGTCAGTGGTGTCTAGATCTTAGAAAGTAAGTACATATAACTTGGTAAAAGTCACATTGGTACTTGCCATTGGTAGGTTTCGAACCCGCATCCTCATGCATGAGAAGAGGGCGTCTTAAACCTCCGGGCCACCACGACATCACGACACGACATGTCAATAGATTATTAGTATGTAGCTTATATTCTTTGCACTTGCAATGAACTGACGAAGATTTCTAACACAAAAGTCATTAACTGATGCCTTCTCTTCCTAGTCGATTCTTTCACTGCTGAGGATCGTGACTCCCTCTGATTTTGCTCACTAGATGTCGCCACTTATCTCGTTCCATTACTTGGTGCATTACAACATTCATAGGTAACTCCAGTTCTTTAGATAGTCAGACCACCGTATGGGACTCCGGCATCTCGGTCTCTAATGAGGGAAGCCTAACCTAATACTAATAAGTACGTCAAATTTTTCCAGCTTTATACTCTTTAGAACACTTTATTTTAACCTCTTTTTGACCCTAAAAGTTACCATCTACAATTGAAATTCGACGACTTCACATTTACCTATTAATTCCCTTCGCATATAAATGGCTTTCAGAAGGATTTCCCTAAGGTGGTATTCAGGCCTCTGTTATTGACACCTTACAGTGCTATTACCATACAATATTGGAGTGAACCGAAAAGCCAACGTTGGGGACGATTTTTTAAGAATATTATTATTAGGAACCTGGGGGAAATGGCTGAATGTGATGGGCTTATGTTTTATTGGGAGAGGGTCACATATATATATTATGTAAGCTACCTCATGTTCATCAGTTTAACTAATATTATAAACTAGCTTCCGCCCGCGACTTCGTACGCGCAATCCCGTTATTACCGTGCCCGTTCCTTAAAAGCCAGTAAAAAGTATCCTATGACCGTCTCCTGGTTCTATGCTACCTCCCCACCAATTTTCATCTCAATTGATTTAACGGTTCTTGAGTTATAAATAGTGTAACTAACACGACTTTCCTTTATATATATATAGATGAAAAAGCTTGTGAGTGTGTGTGTGTGTGTGTGTGTTTGTTACTTAGTCATGTCAAAACGGCTGAAGGGATCGGGGTGAAATTTAGAACAGGAATAGATTATGGTTTGGAATAATACATCGGTTACTTTTTAACCCACGGGAACGCAGAGAAAGCCGTGGGCAGAAACTAGTTATGTTATAAGTTTAATGTTATAAAGCAAGAGCTTATTGATATAAAGCAAAAATGATGCCCAAGCCTTCATGACTACTAACTGTGAAATATAAAAAACCAAATATTAAAAAAGTAAATTTCGTATACTTTTCTTTTAAGTTTCAAGGTCTATTCAAGAAGCTTATTTAATTTAATGAAGCAAATTAATTAATGTAGACAATTCCATCATCATCATCAACAGCCTATAATAGCCCACTGTTGAGAAAGGCCTCTTCTTACAAGAAGGTTTGAGCATTAATCAACACGCTTGCTCAATGTGGGTTAGCCATTTCAAACTTATAATTAGAAATTATAAGTCCAGGTTTCCTCACGATGTTTTCCTTCACCGTT